ATTTTTTTTTAACGCGGGTAAAATTTTTTTTTTTTTTTTTTTTTTTTTTAATTATCATTATTTCCGTCATGTTTATTACTACCGCATCTACTCAAGCAGCAAGTTTAGACATGGAACACTTCAACCAATTCATGTGTAGCATCAAGTCCAGTCCAGCGTCATTTTAATATTTCCAGCAGAGGGCGCCCTAGCACCATTCAACTAACAGGATTTTTGTTTCAACCCCTACGGCGTTCCAACCTGCACCGTCCCGTCTCTCTCCTGGAAATAAGCACTAGCAAGGAAAAGTAGATTTAGATAACGAATGGAATGGATGTATTCTTATTTTTAATCAAAACAAAATCAGATAAGAGTAAAAAAAAGTTTTAAAACAAAAGCATCAAATTAGACACAACTTCATTGCTACTTGTTTATTATTCAGTAGGTTCAAAATTTGAAAGACAGATTCTACTTGTTTCTTTTTTTAATGTAATCCCCTTCACCTTTGCTCCTTTACTTCTCTGTAAAGCACTTTCAATATCCCTTGCTCACAAATGACCAATATTGTGGTCAGGTCTTGTATTTGACCTGGTCACAAATACAGGTCAAATACAGGACCTGTATAACTTTAAATCATAACTTTATGATTTTGCAATCACAAAGTTATATGATTGCAAAATCATATAACTTTAATTGAGTTAGAAAAAAAAAGTATTCAGCAAAGCAGAAAATTTAAACAGTTTTGAAGAGTGAATTGGGGATTATATGACAATATTTTTGTCTAAACCACACACATACAGGCACCATGACGAAGGTCCTCATTCAGTTTTAATTCAAAAAATGAAAAAATAATGGATCACCTGAAATGCAACTACAGTTTTTGTCTGTATTTACTCTATATTTTTACACATAAACAAAGCAAAACCGTTATGTGTTAATTTTTAAGCTGCAAATGACAGAAAAACAATATTTATGTGTGTGCTTAGTTGGTACCTATCGTGTGGAGTAGCCTGTTTGTTTGTTTAAGGATTCCCATCAGTCTCTACATTAGTAGAGACTCTTCAAAGCGTCACAGCCAGAGCCTGTACCAAACTAAATCAACTGAACACAGTTCAGAGGTCAGAGCAAACACCATCTACACAAATCTAAGAAGAATTGAACAATAAACAGCAGATTTTGACATACAGTAAGCTTGTCTGAAATACATCAAACAAAATTGAAAGTGTGCCACATGACATAATCGCACATTAATTAAATAATAAACTGAGACGCCAGCATGAAGGTGGGGATGTTTTTCTCTGGCAGGAGCTTAGAAATGGAAATAGATGAAGACAAATTGGCTCTCACTTTTTTGTCCTGTGTAAACACAGTACATCTTTTTCTAGAATTATTGAAATTTTAGCAATTAAAGATCCAGGTTCACTTCTTCTGACTCTTCTTGTTAAGTAACTATTTGTGTGTGTCAGTGGTGTACATACTTTTCACCATGGGGGTAGAAAATGTCATGAGCCACACAATTGTAATTTTAATTTGCTTTTAATGAAAATTGAAGAAGATATTTGAATATATTCTGAACATACTAAAAAGGGGAAAATATACAAACAGGATATGGTTCATACAGGCTTTAGCTCACTGAGCTTAGCAAAATTGGCACACCCAGTCTGTGCTTTAGTAAAAGTCTCTGAATGTTTGTATTCATATTTAATAAAGTAAAGGCATTAGCATCACCAATAAAAGAGCAATGCCTTGTGTTGTGCCTTACATCTTCAAAATATAAAAAAATTTTCTGTATCCTGTTTTTTTTTTAAAAGGCCTCACATCAATAATAATGGCACTAACATCATTCAAATGTGTATCTGCATCAACCGCCTTTCTGGCAAACCAAAGGTTTTGTGAATTGTGATGGAGAAATTGTTTGGCATCTGCAGGCCCCCAAATTGGACACCACTAGAAATAAATGTTTGTTCAAAGATTAAGTTATTCTCAAAGTCTGAAAACTCCTCATGCAGCTGGAGTATTTATTTATTTATTTATTTATTTATTTATTTATTTATTTATTTATTTATTTATTTATTTAAATATTATTTAGTTATTTTAATATTATTTTTGGATGAATAGAACATTAAATTATTTAAAACGTCTGCCTTTTGCCGTCTCCAACAAAGTCTGTGCAGATACCTTGAACTCTGCAGCTGCAGACCCAACCAGTTTTACTATGACAAAAAAAAAAAAAAATCACACAAATCGGAAAGAACAGAAGAAAACAAAAACTGAGAATTGAACATGTATTTTTTTGTTTATTGAACGTGTCTCCACATGTTTTGAAAGAGTGTTGAGGATGTGGGATGGTGAAACTCCTTGTTTCACACAATCGGTGCGACTTTAGCGGTACTTCTCAGACAGAGCCAAGGCCACGTTCTGTAGGAACTTTTCCACGGAAAGGTGAACCTCAGGAGTGAAGTCAGCAGGGAAGTACATGGCCAAGACCACAACGATGCTGTGGCCCAGGATCTGAAGATTACACACACAAACAAAAAACAAACAAACAAACAAACAAACAAAACAATTAAATATAATTGAGCAGAAACTAAACGCGCACATGATCATGATAATGTGAGTAAATTCAGAAGAGATTTGAAGTATACCTTGAAGTTGGCAGGATCCACCCGGAGTTTGAAGGCATGAAGCTCACTGAGGGCGGCCAGAGTGCCAGTTAGATCGTCGATGCCCTTGACAGCTTTTCCCAAGGCTCCCATGATGGTGGCACCGTGCTTCTTCACTTTGGCGGACTGAGGGCTCAGATCTCCCCAGTGAGAGAAGTAGGTCTTAGTTTGTGGGTAGGCAACAAGCATCCTATAAGTATCACAGAAAAAGGATTAAAACAAACAGCAACGACATATTTTTTAAAAAGGGTTTTGTATAACTTGATGTTTACCTGCCCAGTGCTTCACCTCCCATTTCGGCGGCCTTCCCTTCGGCTTTGGCCCAGAGAGCCTTCACCGCGGCCTTGTCTTTGTCGGAAAGACTCATTGCTGCCTTTAGATTCTCAGCGAGAAAATATGAAGATCAAAAGAGCTGCTTTGATGAATTTGTCTCTGCGTCTTTATATCAAGCCTAAATGCACCACGCCTTAGAATCACTCCATGCCAAAACTGTGATAACGAAACTGCCAAATAACCCGTTGCCAACTTGGCTCGATAAAAGCTACCACTCCTCAAATTTCACGAAATCCCTACGTAAATGCTGACTGGTTACAGGAATTACACCAAGGCGCTGCTCTGGATAACACTTCTATTTTTTTCTACATATCTAACTGACTTCTTGAGCTAAATACACAAAATTCACTTAACACAATGTTAAAATCTTTGTACTTGTTTTCTTTCTTATTCAACAATATGCAAGTTTTTTTTTTGCAAGTAGAGCTTTTTGCAAAAAGAAAAAAAAAAGGTAACTAGTATTAAATTATCAGACACTCCCGATTTTAAGTAAATTGAACTTGATTTTACAAACTGGTCATGAGACACCAGTCTGAAACGTGTTAACAAAAGAAAGTATTGACTATAAAGTCAGAAAATTCACTTTGTCTACAGTTTAAGAAATTTTATAGATCGATGACGCAACATTTATTGGCATTAATTGGTGCCAAATATGACGGACGTCATTTTATTGGCAAGTGCACCTCGTCCAATCACAGCCCGTCTTGTCTGGGGGACGGATCATTGGGCTGTGAATAAATGCAGGGCTCGTAAACATATTCAAACAGTCTTACACCTTTGATCACCAAACTCGTATTTTTTTTGCGAAGTCAGAGGAGACTTTCACACCGTCATCATGGTCGAGTGGACAGACGCCGAGCGCACCGCCATCTCCACCCTGTGGTCAAACATTGATGTGGGTGAAATTGGTCCCCAAGCCCTGTCCAGGTAACCCTGTGAACAAATTTCATTCCACGAAACGATGATCTCTTGCATCCTGAGGATCGGGATTTTTCATTGTCACTTTTGTGTTTTCAGGCTTCTGGTCGTGTTCCCATGGACCCAGAGGTACTTCTCCACCTTCGGTGACCTTTCCACCCCCGCAGCCATCGCCGCAAATCCCAAAGTGGCTCAGCACGGAAAAACTGTGATGGGCGGCCTTGAAATTGCTGTGAAGAACATGGACAACATCAAGAACGCCTACGCCAAACTGAGCGTCATGCACTCCGATAAGCTCCATGTGGATCCCGACAACTTCAGGGTATGTCATCCCTCACACCAAGACGCAATTACTTGTTTTTGTTTTGTTTTTTTAATTCGTGTCAGTTTATTCATTCTTGTTGTATTCTGGCTTGTGACTGCAGGTCCTTGCTGAGTGCATCACTGTGGTCGTGGCCGCCAAGTTTGGACCCAGCGTCTTTACCGCTGGTTTCCAAGAGGCATGGCAGAAGTTCCTGGCCGTGGTGGTCTCCGCCCTGGGCAGACAGTACCACTAAGCGTCTGAAGTGGCCGACCACTGAAGAGATGCAGCGAGACATCAGTTTCTGAGCAATTAAACGCTGCCAAAAATACATCAATAAAAAACTCAAATCATATGCAAGTGTCTCTGTAATTATTCACCCCGTTTTTAAATAAGAAATCAAATGGAGAGCTGTATATATCTTTGGTTTCCATTTCAGTGAAATAAATAATGACCAGAAGGTCAAAAAATGTTGAATAGAGTGAATTCCCATCCTAATGTTGCATCTGTAAATTACCCAAAATACCAGCGGGAGAAACAGAATTAAAACAATAATAGTAATTCAAAAATATATATATCTGAATATCAAAAAGACTGCAAACTGCAACGCTAAAAATTCAGATTTTAACTTTACACCCATCTTTCTTCTCTTTAACTTGATCAAAAATAATTCGCTCATCGTCATCTTTTTAAAATGTAATTTAAAAATGAGATCTGATCAGTTATGGCTGAACATATTAGCCAAGCATATAAACTCCTCTTCATAACATCGGCATATTTTTTTTTATTATTTGGGCGTGGCTGGCCTGATTATAAAGATAATTAACGTATATGGTTTAATCTGCTGCGAGCAGCTGGTGAAAACTTGCTACGACCATCAGAGACGGAAAGAGGAGAGAATTTATGCTTGAAAACATTTCAGTGTTGGTGTCAGGTCATCCATAATGTCCTCCAATATTTCGCCAGACTGACAGTTTATTGATCGCATGGCGTCATGGTGAAATGGACGGAAGAGGAGCGCCGCATCATCAGAGGAGTTTGGGAAAAAGTTGATATTGATGAGATCGGAGAAGAGCTTTGGGCAAGGTAGAATTAGATTTTAGTTCAAACTGAGGCTTACCAAGTCTTGTTTGGGTACTATTGTAAAGCTAAATATAGGGTTAGTGTGATGATGTAAAATCTCCCTCGAATAGAAAAGATTCTTGTTTTGGTTGAGAGGAAGTTGAGCTGACCTTTTTGCATGTTGGTTCATCTGCATGGTATATTTCAGCACCAGTTGCTGTCCGTCTACTGTTGACTCTTGTTTTTGAAAATGACTTCCAAGTTGAGGATATTCTTAGATATTCTTATAAATGTTAGTTTGTATGTCCGGAGTAGCTTTCTGCTTTCTGTGACGGTTTATCCATTTGTGTAAATCGAAAAAATTGTGCAAGATATCTCATGACCGGCATCGTATTTCTCACATCGACAGAGCTTTGATTGTTTACCCCTGGATCGATCGGTATTTCGGCTCCTTTGGCGACATCTTCACCACTACAGCAATTTTAAAAAACCCCAAATTGGCCGCCCTGGGAAAGGTCGTGCTATCGGCTCTGGACACAGCCGTCAAGAACATGGACAACTTCAAAGCTTTGTACGCTCCTCTGAGCAGGCAGCACTACGAGAAGATCAAAGTGGATCCGGATAACTTCAGAGTAAGCTACTATCCTGACGTTCAAGCCACAAATAGCTCATGTAAGGAAAACCATTTGAGAATTTATTAGATATAAAGGACGATTCGCCGGTTTTTTTTTTTTTTTTTGTGAAGTTTGAGATCAACTTGGTTCAGTAGTCCACTTGTAAGTAAATTAAATACAAAATTCAACCAGTGACAAGTGACACCAAGTAGGGGTGTCTGTTCTAGTGACTCATCACTCGGCTATTGTTCCCGAAATTTATGATGTCTGATGGGTTTTTTTGTTGTTGTTTTTGTCTCCCCCCACCCCCCCGCAGCTTTTGGCCGAATGCATCACAATTACCATCGCCTGCAAACTCAGAGCTGAGCTGAACCCTCAGGTCCAGGCCACCTGGCAGAAGTTTCTGTCTGCTGTGGTGGAGGCTATGAACAGTCAGTACAAATAAAAAAATAAAAAAAAGGCAGACCCAATCAAGCATGGAGAAAAAATTGCCATTGAATAAAAGTCGCTTTTTCAAAAGCATTTATGTGCTTGTCAACATGTGGGAAAACAGAGCAAGTGCTTGGAGATTTGCAGAAGCTGTGTGCCCATGGTAGAGTCGTGTGTGTAAGTTGAATTTTTGCGACCCCTGGAGGCAATAAAGTATATAACAGACTACTATGAAATCAGTGTTGATTTTTTATGATTTTTTATGTAATTTTGCGTCCTTAAAACATTACTCAGGTAATAACTAAGTAAATTATTCAGGATTAGTCCCAGCAATAACCATATGAAATGTTAAGGATTTACCCAAAAGTATTTATGTTTGATATTTCATGTTACATTGAATGTTTTTTTTTTCCTTTTCTCTCTTTGATCAGTCTAGGCTTAAAGAGCTGTTAAACATGTTTTAAGTCTTAGTTTTACTTTATGCCAGCAGAAAAAAATAGTTTTTGTGTGTGTGTGTGTGTGTGTGTGTGTGTGTGTGTGTGTGTGTGTGTGTGTGTGTGTGTGTGTGTGTGTGTGTGTGTGAAAATGCAACAGTGAGTTGGTGACAACAGTAGGTCGTGTAGGAAAGGACAGTATAGGAAAAAACAAAAATAACTAACTAACATAAATGAACAAAAGGTGTTTGTAATTACTCTTAGTCTCTTAAATCTTTACATTTGTAACTTTTTATGGTTGTTACAAGTCTATTTAAGCTTCTAAGTGAAAAACTTCTCATGACAGGAGCCATCAATAAAAATAAAAAAAATCAGCTGTCAAATTTCTAAATGTTTTTATGTTCATTTGTTTTCCACAAGAGGGCGCTAAAACGCCGTTGCAGAATTTTAAAAGCGTCTCAGACTGAGTTTTGAATAAACATGTTTGCTCCAAAAATGGCTTCCATAGTAAAATATCTGTTGCCATGGCGTTTTAAAAAATTTATTATATTGATATATTTAAATAAATGTATTTTGATGTTCACTGGCTATAGACTGCAATTTCTAAACATAAAAATTAGTACGGAAACAATAATAATAATTTAAATTAAATAAAGTTAATTAACTTTATTTAATTTAACTTAGTTCAAATTTTGACTTATATGGATGATAACTATTAAAAAAAGGTGGGAAAATAACGTATGACCTCCAAATATCACTATCTATTTTGATATCAACCATTTATTGTTGTTTTGTTATAATACATAATTGTAATAATAATAATAATTACTACTACTATTAATACTACTACTACTAATAAAGATAATTATAATAATAACTTTTATTTTTACAATTACTACTACTACTACTAATACTATTAGTAGTAGTATTTTTAAATTAAGGAAGTTCCATATAAGACAAACTGGGGAATAAGACAAAGTGGCTGTAGAAGCTAGACATTGTGAAATATCATCAACAAAAAGCAGAAAATCATACTGTGCCTGTATACATTAGACAGCCTGAGATTGATAAAAAAAAAAAAAAAAAAAAAAAACTTGATGTAATTAAATGAAACAGGCAGGAAGTGAAATGTTTAACTGAAGCAGTCAGTGAGGCTTTGGTAAACCACTATCTGTCCCCTTCCTGCGGCTCCGCCCCTTTAAAGTTCAGATAAGCGAAGAAGCATACTCGGTAGTAGCAACTTTTACCGCATCAGAAAATATATTGCAACCCACTGATAACCAGGAATGAATTAAAAAATGGTCAAGATTTTAAATCAGTACCGCGGGACTGTCCTTGATAAGAGACTATTTATCATCTAACAATTATGAACCAAATCCCATTAATATGTCCACGCTCTCTGGTTTAGTATGTTTGGGTTTTCTGTTGTCTTTAGTTTATTTTGACCTCATAAAAATATATTTATGACCCTTCAAACTAGATTACAGAGCTTGTGACGTCTATGATTTTTTTTTTTTTTTTACTTTTGTGTGTTTTCCAAAGTACTAAAAACCGTGTGCATTTAAAGTCAACAAAATGTATGAAAGGCACACTTAACTAAAAGATGATACAATTCTAAAACAATCATTTAACTTGTTTAAATTTTCAACTTGATCACAGTGAAGAAAAAAAGAAGTACTGTTTCACATTTAATGAGAAGTTTAAAGTGAAGCCTATGTATTTTGTAGAGGTTACAGTGGGCTGCTCCTCACTCAGAGCCCATCTGTCGATTTTGTTTACAGCTTATCTCATCTAAGCTGCAACACTTTGCTCGGAAGGCGTCCAATCAGAGATATCTCGGAGGTGTCCCTGCCTTGCCCAAGCCCTGTTTGTTTCCTATAAAAACACCCGCCACTTGCCGCTGATTGCGGCATTTAACCCAAACAATCAACCAAGAAGATGAGTCTCACTGCCAAGGACAAGGAAACAGTCAAAGCCTTCTGGGCTAAAGTGGCTCCCAAGGCTGAAGACATTGGCCAGGATGCTCTGTCCAGGTAATAAAGACCTCCATGTTGCTGATGTTACCTGAACTGTATTTTTCTGGGTTTATTTATACACTCACATTCTTTTAGGATGCTGGTGGTTTACCCACAGACCAAGACCTACTTCTCCCACTGGAAGGACATGAGTCCCGGCTCTGCTCCAGTGAAGAAGCACGGAGCCACGGTGATGGGTGGAGTAGCTGACGCTGTGGCCAAAATTGACGACCTGACTGCAGGTCTCCTGAGCCTGAGCGAGCTGCATGCCTTCACTCTGAGAGTGGACCCTGCCAACTTTAAGGTACAACTAGTGATCAACAGTCGGGACTGTAAAGACACCCTGCAAGCCACATCGATGGATTTAACGGAGCAACTTTGGAATAAAAAGATTAAGTTCCTGATATATTAAATTGTAGATTGATTTTTTTTTTAAAGGTGACCACAATGGTGTTTTAAGACTCCACTGCTACTTACATTTCTGGGTCCAGTAAAATAGGAAAACAATTTACATGAACAAAAGTCAATTGAATTTTATCACGAACTATTACATTTTCATGCCAAAGTTTAGTTTAACTGCAGTTTTCTTGATTTTTTTCTTTTTCATGATGCTCTGATCAATACTGAACATTTAATTTATTTTGAAATGAATAAATATGTGCTACACCTTTCTGTACTGTTATTTGAATTTTATTTCACTGTTTTTATTATTTTGATATTCTTTTATTTTAAAATGAAAACCAGAATAGTTACTATTTTTTTATACTAAATTTATAGTACTGTATTTCAAGATAGACTCCATATCTGTCTATGTTATTTTTTCTTTTTAATATTGGTAGCATAAATACTTTAATTTAATTTAATTTAATTTAATTTAATATATGTTGTGCTTTTTAAGATTTATCATTAGTTTTTTATGGCATATGTATGTAGGAATGTAAAATATTCCTTCTCTCTATTTCTTTATGTTTTGCGTTCTTTGTTTCTTTCTCCTTTTCTTTCTTTCTTCCTTTTTTTTCCTTTTTGCAAAACAAAATTGCAATTATTTTAAACAATCATCTTTTCACAGATTCTGGCACACAACATCCTTGTGGTCTTCGCCATCAAGTTTCCCTCCGACTTCACCCCAGAGGTCCATGTGGCTGTGGACAAGTTCTTGGCTGCTCTGGCCCGTGCCCTCTCCGAGAAATACAGATAAACTGGACACCTGGAGAAGATAAAAGACATGATACTACAGCTCCTAACAGTCTGAATATGAATAAAAGACCAAAAGCATTGAAAGTGTCATTTATTTCTGGGTTTTGTGTGACTTTGTGTGTCTCAGTATATCTCTAGTTTCCTTGCTGGAGCTTAAGTTCTTGTCTACATTCCTTTTTTTTTTTTTTTTCAATCAGACAGATGATACACATGGGGTATTCTAAACCAGAGGTTCCCAAATCTTTCTGTCTCCAATCTAAACAAAATAACTCTAACAATGCTCTTTGATAATTATCTCTATAATTCATTTGATCATTTTGGAAGTTTTGTGACCACATTTTTAAGAAGAAACATTAGCCATCCTTCAAAACAGTTTTTGAAGTTTGGAGATTATTCCACGGCCTCCTGCTTGGCAGAGACAAACAAGAGTGATGTATCTCACTTTGTGGTGTTTATATTTTGATGTAGAGTGAAAAAAAGAAGCCAGGGCCAGAAAGATTTCTGGCCCTGGCTTCTTTACTGAAAGACTCAGTGTCCTTTAAGTTTCTTTTTTATACTTAAACCTATAAATGTGCTTTTTGTATAAAGGCCCCCATGCTCATTTGATATTTCTTCCGTTTCCCAGTAATTGCTTACATGATCAGCAGGGGAGGGTCTATGGTGTGTTAATGTAGTTCAAATGTTAAAAGCCATCATAAGAAAATGCTCACTTGAATTGTTTGCAATTAAATTGTATACAAATTATTTCCAATTGCAATTTGAGTCAAAAACCAACAGACATTTACAACAGTGCTGATATTTTACTAGTGAGGGCCAACGCTTAAGGGGAAAAAATGAACTCTTCTTTGCTTCTCTCTGAGTTAATGTTGGGACTTTCAAATGAATGAAGATGAATGTTATTTTCTTTGATGAAATATCTTACTCAGTGTGCCCATGAAATTAAACCACATTTTCTTGAAATCTAATTCTTTGGGTGACGTCAGAGCTGACTTTTTTATTAATAGTCAGACTGACCTAAAGTAAGCAAAGGTCCTGATCATGATACTTTTCACTTAGATATTTTGCTGTCTGTCTTACTAAGTAGGTCACCTCTTAATGCCACTAGTGACTTGTGAGCTTGGTTTGTTCAGAGAATAACCAAATCCCAAGAAAAAACAAAAAAATTATAGCAAAATCTAGACTTATTTCATGTGACTGAGGTCAAACTGTTGTGTTCACATCCAAAGAGACTTTAAAAAGAAACTGGAAGAAGAGTTAAAAGGAAATAAACAATATTAAAAAAAACTACTAAGAAAGAAGTGGCAACAATTTATCCAGTAGTTAATATAAACGAACCTATATTATTATAATTATTCTTTTAGAAAAACAAAGAAAATGTTGCATCCAAAAATCTGAATAACCAGAAAACCTAAAAATAAGTCTAATTTATGTTCAGGAGTCCTAATAAATGTTTTTTTTTTTTTTTTCTTCTGTCCGTTCAACAGCAGTGCAGCGGAAATATAAAGATGCTCTGCTGATAGTGAATTTACAAATAATCCTGTTTGACATTGTCATATTTTGTCATTTTGTGTTTTAAAAGCACTGAAATTCAGATTAAAAATTCACTCACTTGGTTTGAAGTCAAATTTGTATTCAGGTTCAGTGATATTGTCTCAATTTTAGTGCTTCTCTATCTTTGGTAACCCCATAATGTGTTATTATTTTATTATTATTTGTTTGTTTGTTTTACACCACTAAAAATATTCAGCTTTTATTTATTTAGAACAAAGCAAACAGGTTTTGACTGACAAGAACTTAGTTTTTATTTCGATACTATAATGCAGGTCAAATACCTTTTTTTGTTCTAATTTTTATTTGTTTTTCAGTTCCTAAAAGAAACCAAGCATTTATGTTTAGGTTTATTGAGGAATTATTTCCAGCTTCTCCTTCTTTTTTTTTTCTTTTTTTTTTTGTAATTTTACTAATCAACATAAATGTTTAATCTCTTTTCATCAACTTAAATAAGTCTAACTGATTGGGATTTATCCATGCAGACAAAGTCAGACAAGTCTATATTTTAATGAATGAAGATCATAGAGCAGTCTTTTTGAGGAATAAGTTACCCAGTTTTATATTAATTATCATTTAAATAATGAAGCAATTTATTCAACATCAAAATACTAGCGTAGGATTTTCCAGTATTTCTTCATGACCTGATTTCATTTACATACTAAATAAATAAGAAAGTTATAAACATGGTAATGAGGAATAAAGACAGAGACAACAAAAGAATCTGTTCAATGTGCTCATTTATTTAACAAATCATTCATAGCCTCCTCCTTCAAAAAAATCCTGCCTGAGGCTCTCTAGTAGTACTGCTTCCTCAGAGAGGCCACCACCACAGCCAGGAACTTCTGGAAAGCTCCCTGAACCTCAGGGGTGAAGGCTGCCCCCATCTGACCGGCTACAACAATGGTCAGGCAGTCTCCCAGGAGCTGCAACAGAACACAGCATGGATCAGAAAGCAGCAACGATATTAATACCCGTGGTGCAAAGACAAAAAGAGAACAGCTTTACGTTGAAGTTGTCGGGGTCCACTTGCAGTTTCTCAGAGTGCAGCACGCTCAGGTCCTTGTATGTGGTCTTAATGTCGTCCATGTTCTTCAGAGCTTTCTCCAGACCTGCCATGATGACCTTCCCGTGAGCCGCCACTTTGGGGTTTGATGTTATGGCCGCGGCGTTGTAGAGGTTTCCAAAGCTGCCAAAGTACCTCTGAGTCCAGGGGTAGACAATCAGACACCTGAAGAGACAATAAGAATTAAACCACAAATGAATACATTCACAAATGAACATTTATTTAAAGAAAATTTATTTATTTTTTTGTTTATTTATTTTACCTGGAAAAAGCTGCACGGCCAACCACATCATAATCGATCTTGGAGAAGATGTCCTGGATGGCGGCACGCTCGAAGTCTGACCATTTGACCATTTTGGAGTTTTTGTTTGCTGGCTCCCTTTGTCCAGTGTGAGTCCACAGGCCCACGAGATCCAACTTATAGACAGCCAAGTTCTGCTCCTCCCAGAATTATCAGATGGGTGGAGCTGAGCAGAGAGCTGATGAAATATTGATTTATTGATCTTCTGAAATTATACAGATTAAGTAAAACCGTGGGGCAAATTCTGCTTGATATTTAACTTTATCTTTATGTTATTTGTAAAAGCCTCATTGCTTCTGAGAGTGAAGCTCTGCAGCATGTTAACAATGTAATAAAGACTAAATTAATCAAGCTGGTAATGAGCAGATTCAACCCTATAGTCTGCTGAGAATGTCGCAAATTAAGTTCAGAGTAAAACCTTTTTGTTATTTTCATGAACTTGATAGATTTAGCTCCATTTTGGGTTACTTACTTTTAAAGAATACATTTTTCTGATTTCTCTAAGCTTGACTAGAATAATAGGACTTATTTTCATTCATATTTGTGAAGGATTACATTATTTGATTCTCTTAAATTCAAACCAGAGAGCTATTTTGTCTCTCTGGGCGTCTTCACTATTGAGATTGAAACGTTTTTCCTGTCCTGCTGTTTGAATCTGATAAAGAGATCAGGTGGAGGGAAAAGACCAAATCGAAGAAAATACGGTTTTCCTTCCACACACAGCAAAAGAAATGCAAATAATTTAAGACCCACAACTGCTTTCAATGAAAGAAAATGCCAATTTTATGGAAATAATTATGCTTTAATGTCCCTGTGAAATAAATAATTAGAGCATTGCATTAGTGGTTTCTAAAGTTTTTGTCAACATCATCACCAAAATAAATCTATATAGACCAGCTTTTTATAAGAAGGAGGTGCGGAAATCCTGACAGAGTCAAAATGTAGAAAGGGTTTTGCACATTTATCTTGGTAAAACAAAGGAGGCCCTTTTGCAAATTCTTTAAGGCTCAATTGAAAATAAATAAGCAAATTAAAATAACGTATTCTCTACAAAACAATAAAATAAAATTTAGCCGCTGTTTCTTAAAAAAAAATATTTGTTTAATTTGGCTGATTTTAACAAAGATCTGAGTGCCCAAAGGTCTGCTGAGAGTCATTAGATAGATGTGGCCCTTTTTACTATGAAATTATAGAGATGACAAGAAGAGTTGTTATTAAAAGACAAATTGTAGGAAGATCCAAATAAGCATCAACTACCAGTGATTGTGGGCAGAGTTTGTTTAATTTTGGAATAGTAGTCGGGGACACACACGGCAGCCTGAGGGCCACAAATGGCCCTGAGTCACATTTTGTTCCACATCATCCTCATACTTCTATTTTACACTGTCTATGTAATCTTTCAATTTCATTTCCTTTAATCCAATAATAATGATGTTCACAACACCCTTATAACATACATTTGACATGAATAGTACATTCTATTTTTATAGATGTATATTTGCTTAATATAATAGATATAATAATAATATAATATAATAGATTGAACAATGAAACATGTTCAGTCAGGTGAACATCTCTGCATAAGTAAGCTAAATAGCACATACTTTTATTTATTTCTATTCACAGATATTCTTCTTAAAAAGCTGCAACAAAGGCGAACCGTTAAGATTCGTTATCACTGCCTCGTCACTCTTACGTCAACGTGCGACAAAACGGATTTTTGTCTCTATCTAGCTTGGGAGACGTCAAACACAGATATCTCCTAGGTGTGTCCATTTCCATGCGTCATCTACAAAACCGCTCACAGTCCTGCAGGAAGTTCAGACTAAATAAAAATAAAATAAAATAAAAAAAAACAAGCAAAAATCATTAACTGCAAAGATGAGCCTCACAGCTAAGGACAAGGACACCGTCAGAACCTTCTGGGCCAAAATATCAGGCAGTGCTGAAGACATCGGCACAGATGCTATTTCCAGGTTAAAAGCATGCATTTTAAAGTTTTGTCTAAAGATTAAAAGTTCTTTTTCAATTTTTTTAGGATGCTGGCAGTTTACCCACAGACTACTTCTCCCACTGGAAGGACCTGAGTCCCGGCTCTGCTCCGGTGAAGAAGCACGGGGCCACAGTGATGGCTGGAGATGCTGACACTGTGGCTAAAATCGAC